GCCATGGCTGAGCCTCACGCGCTGAGGCTCCATGGACACACGCTCTCCGCAGCTGACGTGCGTGCGAGATGCGCCGTGTGCCCCCACCTTGCGCTTGCGGCCGGACCGCGAACGATCGCTGGTGTTATCGGACAGCACCTGCCCGCTGCTCTGGGGCAGCAGAGCGGTGGGCGGCGGGAACGGCGCCCCCGGCAGTGGCGCAGCCAGTGGCACATGGTGCGGCGGCATGCCAGCCGAGGCCATCGCAGCAAGCTGCTGATCGGCTAGCTGCGCCATCAACATGGCTGTTTCGGGGTCCATGGATGACGCCTATCTGCGAGGCTGGGGCCGATCAAGGTGCCTCAGTGTGCCAAGGGTGACTTCCACCGTAGGCACACCCCTAGCCCCTTTCGCGCCTGTGAACACGTAACCTAGCGGAGGAGCATTTGAGACGCCAAACGTGTTGACGCGCTTGCCGGGCCCCTACTGTTGGGTGTCAGAGATGCTCTCGTCACACCACGCACGGGGATGCCCTTGTCGTTCGGCGACAACAGCATAAGAAACCCCATCAGCTACTAGATGCAAACGGAATACGTAAGTAAGCGCTGAATATGTCGGCTCATCGGCAGGCGTTGGATGAGAGCAGGGAGCTTTGCTCTAGGCACAAGCCCCCCTATTGGTGCAAACAGCTCTCTGGGGCCTCGGATATCCCGCGCGTGTGTCCGCGAGAAAGGTGTCGCATCTTTCCGATCTGCAGCGCCCTCATTGTCGGCAGAGCTGAGGACTGAAAGATGACGGTCGGCCACGTCGCATATGCTGCCCGGTGCTCTGCTGCCCAGGACCAACCCACGCAGTTGCAGCATCACACCGGCCCGGGGCTGGCTGACTCCACTTGAAAATTACGTGTTGTTTTGCGTTGTAGGTCTGGCAGGACCAAACGTGCACTGAGTGGCAGCTGTGCGCACAGTTGACCGCATGGGGCGCCACATCAATGCCTTGACCGGCTGGCAGTGCATACTGGCCCACAGCCCTGCTTCCATCCAAGAAACCCGATGTGCTTGTTGTTGAGCCATGCATACTCACCAAGAACACGCCTCTTGGGTGGCCCGACCACGAATGTGCCAAGCAGCAATGGCACCAGGCAGAATTCTGAGGCGGTTGAAGGCTTCGCCTGCTGTGCAGCGCGCTGCATGCCGGGTACTGCAGTCCTTCCAAAATAGGTACCATTAGCGTTTGTATCCAGGTATCCTTTAATACATCCGAGGGTGGCGATTGCTTGAGGGGGATTAAGTGCCACTCCCTGGCGGTTGTCATGAATGCACTTCACATATTGAACCGTATGTGGGGGCCTCGGCTGCAGGGGAAACACAACCGGCTTGCATTCACCTGCTCGCTCCTGGCGTCGTCAAGCGCAATGGCGGTCAAAGCCATAGCATCGCCATGGTCTGGTGAAGATTGTGCCCTCACGATGCATTGTCAAGTACCCACAGAGCCGATACCAAACCTTGAAATTTGTTATCAGGCTTCTGAGGTGCGTAGCATTGAAATCCAATGGTCCGGGCTGTCACTTCGAAAGCCACGTGCTGTCACCCTCATGCAACCTTGTCGGCGATGCGATGAATCGATCCCGGAACCGGGTGCTCGTGACACAGAGACTTGTCGTATTTACCTCCATCAGCGAGAACAAGGCCGCAGTGATCACACTGACACGCGGGCAACTGTGCAGGACAGGCCGCCAGACGAGAGGGCCTTGCACACTGTGTAGCCGTTCAATCTTGCAAATATGTACAACGGTCTTGCACCGTGCCGGCATGTTGGCCCGGCGGCAGGTGGCAGCAGCGGCCAGGCACAGCGGTCGCCAGCTCTGCAGCAAGCAGCATGCATCGGCGCGCCGCGCTTAGTGAAATCCGCCACTGGGGCCTGTACACCAGGTGATTAGGGGCGCCCTTCAGCCCAATGGCATGGATTGCTGATAGGAAGACCTGTGCATGCCGTGTGTGGGGCAGGGACCGGTGGCAAATGCACAAAGGCTGAGCGTGCCCTGGGTCGGAGCATGCGAGTGAGGACCTTATCGCAAAGCACGGCTGGGACCGCCAAGTGTGGCGGTGGCGAAACAACATGTATGCTTGGCGTCCTTTAGGGGTGCACAGCTTGCAATGTGTCGGCCCCCGGTAGCAGCAGCGGCGGCGGCATCGCAGCGCTCGCTTGTGCATGTTGCGCAGCCGCACTGTATCGGACCTGCATTGGCCTTCCCACACGCCCAACATCAGTCGCCGCACGCGCACTGTCTTGATCCAGCGGTGGCCCCCACAAATGCCCACAACCACTTCCCTTGGCAGGCCGACGGTGCCGACGACGCGTCACGGCCGCCGCCACCAGCAGCAGCATGGCGGCGCGCAGCGACGCAGATGGCGGCAGCGGCAAGGACGCAGGTGCTTTGCACGCCTTTAGCGCGGGCCTGCTGCAGTGTGGCGCCGGCAACGGCTGCATTGACCCTTTACCATCAAAACATGGCCTTTGGCGCGACACCGCCTGTGGTACTACGATAAGTCCACCCGCCTGCATGTCGGCGCGCGCACGCCGGCTGGCCGGCCCGCGCAACCACTCACGCCGCATCCCGCTCGCTGCACCACGCGCCGCGCTCGCGGCCGCAGCGCCCGACCCCAGGGCGGCCCTGCAGGCGCTCGCCGCCGCGGGGCGCCCGGTCAGCAGCTTCCCGCCCGACTTCGCGGCGGCGGTCGAGGCGGGGCGCGTGGACGCGGCTCTGGTTCGGCGGTACCTCAGCCTGGAGTCCGAACTGCTCACTGGCGGCCTCATGGGTTGGGCAGGCGCGTGCTGCGCGCGCTGCGACCGTTAGGGCAGCGCATGCTTTGCATGATGGCTTGAGGCGGCCGTGGCGCACAGCCAATCTCATCTATGGGAGGTCGAGCAACGCGTGCACCCTTTTCCACCCCGCGGCCCTCCCTCTCTCGCAAGCGTCGCTCGCAAGCAGCATGCGGCGCTCTCCTGCCTTGATGCCGGCCGCCTACCAATGTTTTCCCATTGAGCAGGGCCTTCTTCCTCAGCCTGCCTTCCCAAAAAACCCGTCCCATGGCACCACCCCGCCCCGCCAGGCTTCCGGGAGCGACTGCTAGCTGACCCTTCGTTCCTGATCAAAGTTGGCATCGAGGTGTGTGTATGGGGGGGCATCAGGATTCGGACTAAGATTTTCACAAGATCCTGCAGTTGCGTGCTTCTGGAGCCAACCAAGCTCATGGGATTTGACTCCGAAGCCTCAGCATTGTGTAGCTGGGACTCAAGTGGCCACCGTGCGGGGTTGGGGGGTGGGGTAGGCGGGAGGCGTGTTTGGTGGGAAGGTCTTGCAGTTCCAGGATTTGTCTCATCGCAAAGGGTCCAGGCTGCAAACCCGTGCTGCAACTGTTGGATGCGCGCGCCTGGCGGTGCCTTGGGGCCCCTGGACGCCTCCCTCTATGGGGTTCGAGCCTCTGACGCTGGGCTGTACCACCATCACGCTCTTCTTTTCTGACATGCACAACTCTCTCTTCCACACATGCTCACACCCACCGGCTGCATGATTACATGCGCGCCCACATGCAGCCGCATACCCCACACACACACGAACCGCCAATCCCTTACGTGCAGTGTGGCATTGGCGTGTGCACCAAGATGACCGCAGAGTACACCAAGAGGGGCGAATCCTTTTACAGTGTGAGTGGACGACGGGGTGGGCAAGTGCAGGAGGGGCTGGGTGTGCAGGGGCGGTGTCAGGTGCGTGTGCTTCGGACGAGCTCAAGGTGCGAGGTGTGCATGCGCATGGAGAGGCGGATTTGGGGGCATGCGTTGGGGTTGTTGAATCTATTTGTGTGGACCCGTGCCGGGGCCGCGACGCCCGAGATGGATCGTCCCCCTCCCCACCAACCGCATCCTGGCCCAAGCCCTGAGTCAAAACCCCCCTCTTTCATCGGCCCCAGCCCCACCCCAACCC